CTGGCCTTGGGGTAAAATACCATGGCCAGGTGGGCTAGTATTGTTTTCTACTAAGGGGACTGAGAGCCCCTACAAGTTGCGACTTTGCTAAAACTCTACTTGGGGGGGGGGGGGGGGCACCAGACTCCTAGGAGGGGATTACTTTGCTAAAGACTGTTGTTGTTTCAGAGGGAATACAGTCAAGTATCTGTTGTGGCAGTCTGCCAGGGAGGGACGTTGTCCTCATTTTTGTTGTTCTGTGACTCAAGCTGGGCATCCCATGAACCTTTTTCCCTATCCAAGTTGAAACCCCTAATAAGTACAAAAACAAAAAAAACAAGCCCATGGACTGTTTTTTTTTTGTGTGTCTAGATACAAGTTGGAAAATGCCTGGCCATGCAGGAAAATGGGGGGACTCAAAACCAGCATCTCCCAAGAGGGTAGCACTACATGTTTATCTTTATGAAGCGGTTTAATAATCTGATAATCTCTTGCTACATTTTTGTAAATGTCTATTTTTGCTCAGCACTGTGACACGGGAAACAAACTGCCTTCTTCAGCCTGAATTGCACCTTGCAGGTAGAAGGGGTAAAACTACTATATACTCTGTTGTACATTACATACTCCTGACCCTTGCACTATATACTCTATGTTATATATTACATAGATTAATTAAGTAGATTAAAACTGATACAGGAAATCACTTCATCCTGAAGGGGGAAAAAGACCTCAAAGCTAGGTCACCGACACACCAATAGTTGATAGGGTGGGGTCTTCAAAAACCAAACACAGACCAAAAATTATTTGGAGACCAAATGGATACCCTAGAGAAAGGTTTAAAGAGAGAATCAACTGCGGTGTAGCAAAGTAAGCAGCTTTATTGAGATCAATACAGGTAATAAGGCGAAATGGCCAACAATCCTCCATTCCCCATTAAAATAAGGTGAGATAATGTTATCTCCTTAAAACCCGCCCAATGCTAGTACCATGGATGGTGCACTATATACTCTATGTTGCACATTACACACTCCTGACCCCTGCACTATATACTCTGTGTTGTACATTATACACTCCTGACCCCTGTACTATATACTATATGTTGTACATTACATACTGCTGACCCCTGCACTATATACTCTATGTTGTACATTACATACTCCTGAACCCTGCACTATATACTCTATGTTGTACATTACATACTGCTGACCCCTGCACTATATACTCTATGTTGTACATTACATACTCCTGACCCCTGTACTATATACTCTATGTTGTACATTACATACTGCTGACCCCTGCACTATATACTCTATGTTGTACATTACATACTCCTGACCCCTGCACTATATACTCTATGTTGTACATTACATACTCCTGACTTCTGCTCTTCCCCTCCCCCCACTGCTATATATACACATAATATGGATTCTCTTTTGTTACACCCATTTCCTACCAGCTGGACATTTTATATCGGATGATGTGATTGGAGCACAGACTTTTACATGGTGATAATAATGTGGTAACATCCTCCAACTTTGGACCCTTAAACAGAAAGTGATAATGAGGGCGGAGTCAATACCCCAATGATGGTGGTCTTCAGGATCATTGGACTTTTTAATATATTTATAAATGATATAGGGTCTGGGATTAAAAATATAATTTCAGTCTTTGCAGATGACACCAAGCTGTGCCGTGGAATAACGTCCTTACAGGATGTCTCCAACTTACAAGTCAAACTCAATGCTCTGTGTAATTGGGGGACTATGGGGCCAATGAGATTTAATGTTGATAAATGCAAGTTTCTGCACTTGGGGGCTAAGAATATGCATCATACATACTAGGGGGGGTACAACTGGAGGAATCAATCGTGGAGAAGGATCTGGGGGGTCAATGGTGGAGAAGGATCTGGGGGGTCTATGGTGGAGAAGGATCTGAGGGTTCTGGTAGATCACAAGCTTAATAATGGCAGCAATGCCAAGCTGCGGGTTCTAAAGAGAGCAAAATCCTCTCTTGTATTAGGAGAGGAATAGACTCCAGAGAGAGAGATATCACCCTCCCCTGGTACAAATCATTAGTAAGACCTCATCTGGAATATTCAGTTCAGTTTTGGGCTCCAATTCACATAAAGAACATTGGGGAACTGGAGAAAGTACAGAGAAGGGCAACCAAACTGATACGAGGCATGGAGGAGATCAGCTATGAGGAAAGATTAGAGGGACTGAATTTATTCTCTACTGAGAAGAGGAGATTAAGGGGGATATGATCTCCATGTATAATACATAAGGGGGGATATGATCACCATGTATAATACATAAGGGGGGATATGATCACCATGTATAATACATAAGGGGGGATATGATCTCCATGTATAATACATAAGGGGGATATGATCTCCATGTATAATACATAAGGGGGATATGATCACCATGTATAATACATAAGGGGGGATTTGATCACCATGTATAATACATAAGGGGGATATGATCTCCATGTATAATACATAAGGGGGGATATGATCTCCATGTATAATACATAAGGGGGATATGATCTCCATGTATAATACATAAGGGGGGATATGATCTCCATGTATAATACATAAGGGGGATATGATCTCCATGTATAATACATAAGGGGGGATATGATCACCATGTATAATACATAAGGGGGGATATGATCTCCATGTATAATACATAAGGGGGGATATATGATCACCATGTATAATACATAAGGGGGTATGATCTCCATGTATAATACATAAGGGGGGATATGATCACCATGTATAATACATAAGGGGGGGGGATATGATCTCCATGTATAATACATAAGGGGGGATATGATCTCCATGTATAATACATAAGGGGGGATTTGATCACCATGTATAATACATAAGGGGGATATGATCTCCATGTATAATACATAAGGGGGGATATGATCTCCATGTATAATACATAAGGGGGATATGATCTCCATGTATAATACATAAGGGGGGATATGATCTCCATGTATAATACATAAGGGGGGATATGATCTCCATGTATAATACATAAGGGGGGATATGATCACCATGTATAATACATAAGGGGGGATATGATCTCCATGTATAATACATAAGGGGGGATATGATCACCATGTATAATACATAAGGGGGGTATGATCTCCATGTATAATACATAAGGGGGGATATGATCACCATGTAATAATACATAAGGGGGGATATGATCTCCATGTATAATACATAAGGGGGGGATATGATCTCCATGTATAATACATAAGGGGGGATATGATCTCCATGTATAATACATAAGGGGGGATATGATCTCCATGTATAATACATAAGGGGGGATATGATCACCATGTATAATACATAAGGGGGGATATGATCACCATGTATAATACATAAGGGGGGATATGATCTCCATGTATAATACATAAGGGGGATATGATCTCCATGTATAATACATAAGGGGGATATGATCTCCATGTATAATACATAAGGGGGGGATATGATCTCCATGTATAATACATAAGGGGGGATATGATCTCCATGTATAGTACATAAGGGGGATATGATCTCCATGTATAATACATAAGGGGGATATGATCTCCATGTATAATACATAAGGGGGGATATGATCTCCATGTATAATACATAAGGGAGGATATGATCTCCATGTATAATACATAAGGGGGGATATGATCTCCATGTATAATACATAAGGGGGGATATGATCTCCATGTATAATACATAAGGGGGGATATGATCTCCATGTATAATACATAAGGGGGGATATGATCTCCATGTATAATACATAAGGGGGGATATGATCTCCATGTATAATACATAAGGGGGATATGATCTCCATGTATAAATACATCAGTGGTTCATATAGTGAACTCGGTATAGAGTTATTCACCCTGAGGTCATCACAGAGGATAAGGGGGGGGGCGCTCTTTACGTCTGCAGAAAAAGAAATGTAATCTCCAAAGATGGAAAGGTTTCTTCACAGTAAGAGCTGTGAGAATGTGGAATAGACTCCCTCAAGAGTTGGTTGTGGCCAGCTCAGTGGATTGCTTCAAAAAAGTCCTGGATTATTTCTTGGATACACAGAATATAACTGGATATAACATTTTTAGGAAAAGTTGATCCAGGGAATATCCGATTGCCTCTCGGGGGATCAGGAAGGAATTTTTTTCCCAGCAGGAGCAAATTTGATCGTGCTTTGCTGGTTTTTTTTCCTTCCTCTGGATCAACTGTGGGTGTAGGATTATACTTTTTTTTTTTTTTCTGTGGTTGAACTGGATGGACTTTTGTCTTTTTTCAGCTGGACTAACTATGTAACTATGTAAGGATCAGTCCAGTCTTCATCTTGGTTGTTCTCCCCCCATCCTCACTCTCTGACCTCTGGTGGGGCTCAGCCCCGCTGTTCTTCATGACTAAATCATGGACTAAATAAGGAAGTGCAGTACTTCTTGTGTTGGGAAGATGGCGATGAGTGATAGAGGGGGTGGGGACCCTCGTCCTATAATCCCCTCATCACTGTCCCTCCTATAAAAGACAGTTCTGGTTGTTTCCTCACTCTCTGACTAAGGTCCATGAATAAAGAAATGACCTGGTAGGAGATCAGAGGAGCCATTTCCTAGTTCCCTTGAGGGTGGAATTGTAAGCTCCTCAGAGACCAAGCTGCCTGATGTGGGTGGAGTCCTGGTTTGAGGGAACCAATCAGCTCCTGTCTATTAATCCTCTTTGTCTTTGTATTTTAGTCCATGGCCGGGAGATGAGGAAAACCTCCGAGGATTGTCTCACTTTGTCTCCAGACTGGAAAGTAGAAGATGAGGACATGACACAGTATAGTCCAGGAGAAAACCCGGCTCCCTCCAATGTCCATCCGGCACCACCCAGTGTAGATGGACCATCAGATTCCTCGTATCCTGAGGAACCTCAGACTGTGCGGGACCGGGCCGGCCTTCCAACAGAGAAGAGCTTCTCCTGTACTGAGTGTGGGAAGGGTTTCAATTTTTAAATCTGCTCTTTATGTGCATAAAAGATCTCACACAGGTGAGAAGCCGTATTCCTGCCCTGAATGCGGGAAATGTTTTTCAGATAGGTCCAGTTTTTATAAACATCTGAGATTGCACACAGGTGAGAAGCCGTATTCCTGTTCTGAGTGCGGGAAATGTTTTGTTCAAAAATCACAACTTGTCACACATCAGAGGTCTCACACAGGGGAGAAGCCATTTTCCTGTCCTATGTGCGGGAAATGTTTTTCAGACAAGTCACATCTTAACAGACATGAGAGACTACACATGGGAGAAAAGCCGTATTCCTGTCCTGAGTGTGGGAAATGTTTTGCATACAAGTCACATGTTAGAAGACATGAGAGACTGCACACGGGGGAAAAACCTTATTCTTGTCTTGAGTGCGGGAAATGTTTTTCAGAGAAATCACATCTATACAGACATGTTTGCAAACTGGTGAGAAACAATATTCACACTGAGTGGGGAAAACCTTTTCTTGTCTGAGTGCGGGAAATGTTTTTCAGAGAAATCACATCTATACAGACATCAGAAAAGTCACATTTTATACAGCACAACTGGTGAGAAAACCATATTCCTGTTCTGAAGTGCGGGAAATGTTTTCTACAAAAATCTGAACTTGTCAAACATCAAGATATCACACGGGAGAAAAGCCATATTCCTGTCCTGAGTGCGGGAAAAGTTTTTCCAGAAAAGTCACATTTATACAGACATCAGAGATTGCACACAGGTGAAAAAGCCACCTTATTCCTGTTCTGAATGTGGGAAATGTTTTCTACAAAAATCAGAGCTTGTCGCACATCAGAGATCTCACACGGGGGAGAAACCGTATTCCTGCCCTGAGTGCGGGAAATGTTTTTCACAAAAGTCCAATTTTCCAGGCATCAGAGACTGCACACCAGCGTGAAAAAGCCACCTTGTCTCATTGTTGGGAGAGACCCTGATATACACCGTCAGATATAAAAGCCATGGCTGATCCTGTCCTGAGTGAGGGAAATGTTCCTCATTGAATTCCTGTCTTCCTGTACATCAGGGGTCCCACAACAACCCTGGAGGTGTATTAGTGCCTTGAGTGCGGGAAATGTCTTCTAGATGATTGTTGCTGGACATCCCAGCTCTCATGTGGGGAAGAAGCACACCCTGATATACACCTCAGATATACTCCATGGCTGATCTTCACTATGGAAGAAACAGTTCATAAGGAGATCAGAGGTCATCAAAGACATGGATGAAGTGTGGGACCGGGTTGGCCATTGATATCAGGAGAAGAATAAAAATGGAGTCATCACCTTTCATTGGCTGAGTACATTTTGTGTTGTGAGCGTTCGCAGATACTTGGAGGTCTATTTGAAAAAAAAAAAGTTGAGGCGAGGAAGTCTGATAAACAAATATTCGTCCAGTCATGATAAAAAGACAGGGTTTAGTTTCATGAAGGTTTAGATTTCCTATATTCATTGGCTCCATCTATTGGCCATAATGCAGTATTGCTCTATTTTTTCTGATGGAAGTATTTCAGGAAAAATACATCATTATGGCCCCTGGACGTAGCTAACGATTATAGGAAATCTGCGTTTTTATAGAATGATGGTACCATAAATTCTGGCTCCCTGATGTGTGACTGGGCCAGGACACATGGGACCATACACAGACCTCAAGAGGCCGCGCAAGATTCTGGTCAACTCAGTGGAGTTCCCGACAGATGAAACTTAATGATCAGCCTTTTACCCCTCCTTCGTAGGATCACATGGGTGCATGGGACACTTCTCTGGTTTTAATTTTGTCTCAGCGAAGTATTCCTACAATTGTTTTTTCCTTCAATTCTATTAGAGATGCTTGAAGAAGGTGGGGCAAGGCTGCCGCCAATCCCTGTTTTGCACCCATAAACGGGAGAGAAAGCTGACTCCCTGTTACACAGGGGCGGACTGACCATTGTGACTACAGGGGCGGACTGACCATTTGGAAACTCGGGCAGTGCCCGAGGGCCCGGGGTCAGTAGGGGGCCCCATGAGATGCCCCTGGTACCTTTTTCATAGGCTTTTTTAAATTTGGGCAAGGACACAGGGGCCCCATGATCCCCTATTGCCTGGGGGCCCCATGAGTTGTCAGTCCGCCCCTGGTTCCCCATATTCATTTTGCCTGGTAAGTTTGTTATTTGTTATGGACCGAGCTTGTAGCCTGCCTGGGGACCCGCTTTGTGCCTTGAGGTCCTATGGAGAACAATTCTATCCACCACTATGTACAGGTTGAGCTACGGGTTTGGATCTGTGGAGCTCACCCGTGGTTCAATCAAACTTTGTGGATATTGGGGGGTTGGAGAGGCATCAGCATGGACTCCATATTTTGGGGATGTGCTTGTTTTCAATAACTGTTACTCTTGACAGCAGCTCTGTGATGGGTGTACCATGGATCTTCACACTGCACCGTCATGTTAATGCTCCACTGTAGCCTTTTGAAGAACCTTGGACGCAGAGATGAAGGGGGAGTTGGCCTCCCTTCCCAATTTATGATGTCTCATATACTACTGTAACTCCCTCCTCACCGGCCTACCCCAACACAGGCTATCCCCGCTTCAGTCTATCCTGAATTCTGCGGCCAGACTCATCCACCTTACCAACCGCTCCGTATCCACCACCCCCCTCTGGCAATCCCTCCACTGGCTTCCGATTGCTCAACGCATACAATTCAATATACTAACACTGACGTACAAAGCTGTTCATAACACTGCCCCAAACTACCTCACCGACCTGATCTCCATCTTCCACCCAAAACGCACTCTCCGCTCCTCACAAGACCTCCTACCCTCCAGTTCCCTGGTTTCCTCCCATACCCATCTCCAGGACTTCCCCAGGGCTTCCCCCATCCTCTGGAACTCACTACCCCAATACATCAGCCTGTCACCTACCCTCCTCACCTTTAGGCGCACCCTGAAAACCAATCTCTTCAGAGAAGCCTACCCCACCCTCACCTAACTGCTGATCTCCTCCGCTCTTCCCACCACACATCCATCCCCCACAGCTATTTCCTCCTGTACCACTCTCCCCTCCCTCCTAGATTGTAAGCTCTAAGGAGCAGGGCCCTCGAACCCCTCGTGTATTGTATTGTTACTGTACTGTCTCATGTATTGTCTCCCATTGTAATGTACAGCGCTGAGCAAACTGTTGGCGCTATAGAAATACTGTATAATAATAGTATACAGTGCATCCAGAAAGTATTCCCAGCTCTTCACTTTTGCCACATTTTGTTATGTTACAGCCTTTTTCCAAAATGGATTCCATTCATTTTTTTCCTCAACATTCTACAAACAATGCCCCATAGTGACAACGTGAAAGAAGTTCATTTTGAAATATTTGCAATTTATTAAAAATAAAAAATGAAAAAAAAAAAAACTCTCATGTACATAAGTATTCTCAGCCTTTGCCATGACACTCAAAATTGATCTCTGGTGCATAATGTTCCCACTGATCACCCTTGAGATGTTTCCACAACTTGATTGGAGTCCATCTGGGGGAGATTCAGTTGATTGGACATAATTAGGAAAGGCATAAACCTGTCTATAGAAGGTCCCACAGGTAACAGTGCATGTCAGACCACAAACCAAGCCATGAAGTCCAAAGAATTGTCCGTAGACCTCTGAGACAGGATTGTATGCAGGCACAGATCTGGGGAAGGGTACAGAAACATTTCTGCAGCATTGAAGGTCCCAATGACCACAGTGGCCTCCATCATCTGTAAATGGAAGAAGTTTGGAACCACCAGGAATCTTCCTAGAGCGGGCCACCCGGCCAAAATGAGCGATCGAGGGAGAAGGGCCTTAGCCAGGGAGGTAACCAAGCACCCGATGGTCACTCTGAAAGAGCTCCAGCATTTCTCTGTGGAGAGAGAGAACCTTCCAGAAGAACAACCATCTCTGCAGCACTCCACCAATCAGGCCTGTATGGTAGAGTGGCCAGATGGAATCCACTCCTCAGTAAAAGACAAATGGCAGCCCGCCTAGAGTTTGCCAAAAGGCACTTGAGGGACTTTCAGACCATGAGAAACAAAACTCTCTGGTCCGATGAAACAAAAATTGAACTCTTTGACCTGAATGCCAAGAGTCATGTATGGAGGAAACCAGGCACCGCTCACCACCTGGCCAATACCATCCCTACAGTGAAGCATGGTGGTGGCAACATCATGAAGTGGGGATGTTTTTCAGTGGCAGGAACTGGGAGACTAGTCAGGATCGAAGGAAAGATGAATGCAGCAATGTACAGAGACATCTTTGATGAAAACCTGTTCCAGAGCGCACTGGACCTTAGACTGGAGCGACGGTTCATCTTTCACCAGCACAATGACCCTAAGCACACAGCCCACATAACAAAGGAGTGGCTATGGGCCAACTCTGTGAATGTCCCGGAGTGGCCCAGCCAGAGCCCAGACTTGAACCCGACTGAACATCTCTGGAGAGATCTGAAAATGGCTGTGCACTGACGCTCCCCATCCAACCTGATGGAGCTTGAAAGGTACCGCAAAGAAGAATGGGAGAAATTACCCAAAAAATAGGTGTGCCAAGCTTGTAGCATCATACTCAAAATGACTTGAGGCTGGAATTGGTGCTAAAGGGGCTTCAACAAAGGATTGAGCAAAGACTGAAAATACTTACTGTATGTACATGGGGTTTTTTTTCATTTGTTATTTTTAATAAATTGCAAATATTTCTCTATTAACTTCTTTCACATTGTCATTATGGAGTATTGTTTGTAGAATGTTGAGGGAAAAAAATGAACTGAATCCATTTTGGAATAAGGCTGTAACATAACAAAATGTGGCAAAAGTTAAGCTTGGAATACTTTCTGGATGCACTGTAGGCTGATTGGCTGAGGCGGCTCCCCTTTGTTCAGTGGGGGAGAGTCTCATTGCCCAAAATATAGCTAATGAGTCACATATAATTGCAAAATGTTGGTTAGCGTTTTGTACAGTTAGCCCTGACTTTCATCTATGCTATGGATAGCCGGAGGCAAGTGCTTGACCACTGCTAGTCTGCCAGACTTTCCTACAGTATATGGACCTTTACTTAATGTCATTATACATGATCTAGTCAACATAACTCATCAGACCAGGCATTTTTGCTATATTGCACTTCCTGGTGGTTCATGCAGTACGTAAAAGGCTCTTTACCGGGTACTTTTTTGATCTTCTCATTCTTTTTTTTGTTGGCTCATTGGGTACCACCGACCCTGTCCAAATTTATACAGTGTGGGCAATGGCAGTTTTTTATGTATAGCTGCCCAGCTCCATGCTGTGGCACCTTTAGCACCAATTACAGCCTCAAGTCATTTTGAGTATGATGGTACAAGCTTGGCACACCTATTTTTTGGGCAATTTTTCCCTTTCTTTGCAGTACCTCTCAGTCTCCATCAGGTTGCTCATTGGATACCACCAACCCTGTCCAATCTCAAACAAAAAAAGGCTGCCATTTGCCTTTTACTGACGAGTGGCTTCCGTCTGGCCACTCTACCAAACAGGTCTGATTGGTGGAGTGCTGCAGAGATGGTTCTTCTGGAGGAGGGAGCCCAGGCTTCACACTTCATGTACAGCTGAAGGGTTGTCAAAGGGTTAAATATCTTGGGACCCTTATTGGCCTATCCAATCACTTTACAGGGATGCTCAATAACAAGGTTGCTCTAGGCCAGGGGTCTCCAAACTTTCTAAACAAAGGGCCAGTTTACTGTCCTTCAGGCTTTAGGGGGGCTGGACTGTTTCCATTTGGTGTATAAAAG